GAGGAACACTTGAGCCCAGGAGTTCAAGAGTAGCCTGGGCTAAAGTAAGACTCCATCTCTATAAAAAATAGAAAAATTAGGCAGGCATGGTGGTGTGCACCTGTTGTCCCAGCTACTTGGGAAGCTAAGGCAGGAGGATTGCTTGTACCCAGGAGTTTGAGGTTGCAGTGAGCTATGATGATGCCACCACTGCACTGTAGCCTGGGTGACAGTCTCAAAAAAAAAAAAAAAAGAAATTCTAGCTTAAGGACTTACTGTGTGTCTATGAGCAAACAACTTAACACCTGACCACTGCCAAAATCTCAGTTTCTCCATTTGTAAAATAAAAATTATATTAACATCTACTACATGATTCTGTGGTAAGGATCAACTGGGCAAAACAGTGCCTAGAATATAAGGACTCAATAAATGTTAGCTGCTGTCACTCTTCTTATTTCTATTATTGAAATAAGTTTGTTCCCATGTTCTTTAAAACCTAAAATATAAATTCTGCAAGGACAGGGCAGTCTTATTCATCTCTGTATATCATTTCAGGAGGCTCTACCTGAAGCTGATTGACCCTGTGTCATGGCTGCTATTGCCACCACTATTGTCACCATTACTGTAGACTCTTACACTCTTTCCATTAGGCCTCCCTGCTACATGGTCTATATAAAAGAAAATCAATCACAACAGCCTTCTAACGTGGGGGAAATCTCATAGCTGCTTTGTTATGATGTCATCAAGTAAAATATGAGGCAGCAGATGTATCCCTGGATCTTATTTTTTTCAAAACTCCAATTCAAGAAGTCACAGAGAATTGACATTGAGGCCTGGACATCTGAATTTTTAAAAGCTAGGTAACTTCTTGAAACATATATTAATTCTCACTGGATGATTTAACATAATTAATTCATATAATTAATCATTATTCTACATGATTTATTGAATCTCTTCAAGCAAGGTAAATTCAAGCACGGTGGACATGGTAGGGAATATGTTATGGCATCATTTTGTCTCTGTTCCTATGTTATTATTGGGAGAGAGGACATGAATTTAACGCAGTAGTTAGAGGTACATACTTCTCCCACATTTATGTATTCTGCCAGACCTAGCACCCTGCCCCTGGAACTGAAGTTGACTGAATTTTACTTAGGTTCACATTTTGTAGAAATAATTGCCTTTTCATATACATATACATATACATACACATACACACAAACACACACACACACACATACACACACATTCTAAACATGTCCTAATACACATGTATTAATACCCATATCCAACTTAAAACTGTCTTCTAGAAACATGGCCAGAGGCACTTGTTTCTGTTACAACTCTCTGGGCTTGACAGGTTTGAAGCAGCAGGTAAGTGGGTCATCCCAAGGCCTACACTTAATGAGAAGTATTAGGAAGCTTGACTGGTTGTTGACCTAAGCCCTAGTTTTCAATCTAGCTTTTTTGTTTTAATCTCCATCTGTCTCAATTCTCTGTGTATAAGATCTTAATTGGTTCAGAACTGAGAAAAGGAAAGGGAGTATTATTTAACGCCTCATCAAGTAGCACCAGAAACTAGTGACAAACCCAAGGCATAGTTAGTAAAGGAAGAAGTTGGTGTAGAATATAAATAGAAAAGAATATATTTTTTAAAATAGCCACATGTGATAAGAATGCCCCTAACAATTTTTTTGATGCCATACCTGACAGTCTATTGTCAGGGAGACTTAGTAGACACTAAAGTCTAGAATGCTGATCTCATTCCATATTATTATGCTGCAGCTTTTATTTGCAGATAAAAAACTAGTAATTGACCCTTTATAACATAGATATGTAATTAAAGATATTGCTAATGATCATTAAGGAATTCCATCATGAACAGAGGTAGATTAACTAATGACTTTAATACCCTACCACCAAAGGAGAGAACTTTTGTGTGTTCTATAACTTTTGTATAATTTAATATGTTGGTTTTCTTGAAAGTGCCCCAGAAATTATGATTCAGGGAAATCTGAACTGAGTACAAGGAATTTAAACTTCTATTAAGCTCTCTGGGTGATTTGGTGTGAGTAACCTGTGGAACACACTTTTAGAAACAAAGTGCATAAACTTAAATTCCTCTTAGATTCTATTCTTAGATGGAAATGACTATGCTCAATTCATAGGTATCTTATGAGATATAAATGAAATAATGTACATAAAAGCTAAGAACATAGTCTGGCACCTAGGAAGGATTCAACATATGTTAATCCTTCACCCCATACCCCTTCCTTTCTATTTTAGGAGTTATTTTTCACTATACAAAACGAAAGGTGCTGAATTACAATATAATTCCCCCCCCACTCAATCAGATCACAATAAATACATTCTGATGTTCAACTAGATTTACTTCTCAATAGATTTACTTTAAGCTGACTGCTTAAAACTGGTCTGCCACCTATCCCAGGTTAACATCTATCATACTGTGTTCTAATACATGGAAATTAAGATAACTATTACAATATCTTAGGTCTGTTCCATAATTTGAGCTAACTTGTTCATATCTTATATGCCATGTATCTTAAGTGCAAATACCATTTGCACTTTAACACTATCCTTCCATGGCTTAATCTGTAGGTCTGGAAGCAGAGCAATTTCAGTTAAGAACTGAGGGAGGGTTAATGGAGGAAATGACCTTGAATAGATCATCACTTAGGAATTCTCACTGATCAACTCCATAATGATTTAAAAAAATCAAGAGTTTAATATAATTTATGTTAAAGCTAAAAAACAAGAAAAGCTGTGTGTGAATTTGGCAATGTTTTGAAGTATCTTCTTTTTCCTTGACATTTCAAAATATGGTGTGATGAAATAAAGCATCTCGAGAAAGATATTCTTATGGTCAATCCTTGCAACTTCTGTGACTTTTTGTTGGGGGAGAATTTAGTATCTAAAACTTGAAAATGGACTCTAAAAGTTAGTAGAGACATCTTCTTCATACCCATCATCACCTACAAACCTGAGGAGGGTTTCTATAGTTAAAAAAATTTTTGAAAAATTATTTGAAATAATTGTCTCATATGTTGTTTCTGACAAAAGCTAAGAGCAAATGACTCTAGGTAATCTTTTCCAGATTAAATAATGATCATACAACAGAACCTTGGACTATATTGCCTCTGTACCTCCTATAATTTATATTTAGAAAAAATTCTGAGTAACATTAAAACTATAGACAGATGGAAGTTCCAGAATTTACTTTTGTGTGTCATTCTTTGCCCTTTATATTCAGTGGCCAGTGAATCAGCAATAATTTTAGATAAAGAAGATGGGACGTGATTTGAAGATTAGCAAAGTGTTCTCAATCTATGAACCCCAAATACCACCTTCCTCTTACCCAACCGTGAGTGACTCAGAACAAATTTGCCTATCTTGGAAATTCTTCCCCAAGAATCCTAGTGAGAAAGCAAATATAGGAAACATTGTATAAGAAGACACATAAAAGATACCAGCTAATAATTACAAAAGCAAAGAGTTTATTTACCAGATTTGTTCTCATCAGAGAAACAAGTGGGTCTAGGTGAAAACAGAAGAGTAACAAACAGCCCATGGAAAAATGCATAGAAGATGTGACTGAATGGGTTCCCACAACCTGGAGACATGACATGATAGAAGCTGGCAAAGGATCTATCTGAGGGACAGAATTCACATTAATTAACTTTTTCTGAGTAACAAACCACCCCAAAATGTAGCAGCTTAAAACCTCAAATGTTTATTCTTTCACATATATCTCTGAGTTGGCTGGGTAGTTCTTCTGGTCTGGACTGGCTTGGCTTGGGGCTAGATGGTCTTGGACGGTCTTACTTGTGTGGTAGTTGGCAAGCAGGTTGGTCTATGTGGACCCCAGCTGGAACGTGTAATCTTTGCTTCATGTATTCTCTCCTCCTCCAATCATCTGAACTTCACATGGTGGTCTCAAAGTTCCAAAGAATAGCAAGAGAGGAAGCCCAGTGCCCACATACTTCCATAGCCTGTAGTGGTATTTCATTTGCTAATGTTATATTGTCCAAAATAAGCCATAGACACACTCAGAGTCAGTGTGGAAAGAGCATGGAAATGGGCAGGGGAATTATTGCAATCAATTTTGCATAGAATCTACTCCAGAGTTGGGAGATAAATTCACCTACTTCACACTTTTATCTTGCATTGGTACTAGTTTTCACATTTGTCAATTTTTGTACTCTATTCCTTCAACCTCCAACTTCTATTAAAGTTCTGAGATTATTGAAAAATTGGTCTTTTCTCTTGGAAATAAATATTTCAATTTTTTATATTCCTGTTAATTTCAGGAAGAGTACATCTTACCATTTAAATCTAAGTGCTATTAAGATAGACTGCAAATATTTTAGGTAGAAGTCATTAATGAATATATTGACACTATCAATTACCAGACTAAACACTGTCAGTCACAATAAATTAGGTTATGTTGTGGTGATAATGAGATCATCCCCTCCCTATAACGAATCAGTTATCCCAGCACTACTATGGAAATTCTTAGGCAATAACTCCAGAGAACTGATAGCAGATGAGGAAAACCATGGACATAGAAAAAGAAATTGAGCCTAGGAGGGACAGAGAAATGAAATGTCAGATAACAGGGAATGTCCTGTGACTACAAAGCAATATGATGGGTTTCCCAGGATGGAAAGGCACTTCTGAAAGCCATTACAAAAGAGGAATGTCAAAGACATTCAAAGTAGAAATGCTGCAATAAATGTATTAAGAAGTATACAATATTCATTTTGATGGACAAATTCAAGCATTTTTGTGCAAAAAACTATGTCATTATCTTGTGCTAGCACTTTATATTGATAATAAAATGCTAAAATTGTTAAGGTGACTGGTAAAAGGAACACTAGCATAATGCTTAATGCAGCCAAAATGGTGAGACAGAACTTACGTTTGACTTTTGGATTAAAGATCTGTCTGAGCACTATGTACACTGTGTTTGTTCACCTTGAAGTAAAAATAGCAACCAACAGTTATTGATCGTTTACCCAGATTTATTGATGCCAAGCATCTGCTCATTTTACACATGTGAAAGTTAGGATTTTAAGAGGTACAATGATTTGCTAAAGGTCACTGAACTCATTAAATAACCAAGCCAAGACTCAAACCTAAGTCTTCTGTCTCTAGAATCAGGGATCTTTATACTACATCCTATAGCCTTTCAAAATCTCTAATGCTTCTTGTCATAATGAGGCAATAATATGGTTAACAACAATATGATTTGGATATTCACATATCCAAATCAGTGTGAATAACAATTAGTTAATGCACTATTATGATCCCCCAAAAATCTGTTATGCTGATGAGATGACAACTTGAGAAAGGGGAGAAACTTGCTGGTTTTAGGGATACCACCCATCTGATTTATAACCTTATGTTTAGCAAAGGAACATTTACATTAAAATGTAGAGTGGCCAAACACAGCCCTTGAGTTAGTTCCAGAATAACTTTAGAATAGTGTGAAGGGTCCCTACAAAGTGTCTTTAAACAGATCTACTAAAATCTTCTAGATCAATGGAATAACTTCCATTGATTGTTGCGTTGCTGCTTTAAAGAAAGTTCTCAATATCTTTTCAAGGCCATTGTTCTTTCTAGATAACTCTATCTCTAATTTCTGAAGCAAACAGTTGATCTCAAGTAGGAAGGCTAGGGAGGCCAAGCCATTCATAATCACAATTCCCTCTCTGACGCTTTTTAAAAAGAAAGATGTGATATGAGCAGTGGCTCCTAGAAGGGAATTGTTACCTTATCTTCACATATCCTCTAAGTCAGTGATTCTTAATCTTCTGTGGGTTATGGATTTCTTTGAGAGTGTGATGAAAATTTTGAGCTTTTATCTCAGCAAAATTGTATACTGGAACACACATAACATTTCCCATAAGGAGACACTTGAGGATCATTTATAAACTTGGGATCCTTGGATCCAGTTAAAAACTTCTGTGCATGTCATCTTTCTTTCATGGGATCTAAAAGACAAGAAGATTAGAGAGAGGATATATTCAGAGACTGAAGGAAACCAAAATATGCCACCCAAAATATACTTCTTGGCATATGTAGAGGGGATACAGACCACAGGAATAGCTCTGAAAAGCTGTCCTTTTGTGGGAAAGATTTGCATCTGTGGAAGAAATCTACATGGAAGAAATCTACTTTAGTGAAGTAAACAGCAGATGCAGAGGCTTTGTCAGGGGTCCACTTATCCGGATCTAGGAAAGATTAACTCACAGGAAAAGGAGACTAAAAGTCTTACACTTTTTTTTTTTAAAAGATAGGGTCTCACTGTCACCCAGGCTGAAGCATGCTGGAGTATGGTGCAATGGCATGATCATAGGTCACTGGATCCTTGAACTCCTAAGCTCAAGTGATCCTCCTGCCTCACAAGTAGCTGGGACTATAGATGCACACCACCATATCCAGCTAATTTTAAAATTTTTGTAGAGATGGGGGTCTCATTATGTTGCCCAGGCTGGTTTCGAACTCCTGGCCTCAAGGGATCCTCCCACCTTGGCCTCTCAAAATGCTGGGATTATAGGCGTGAGCCATTGCACCTGGCCTAAAAGTGTTAAAACTTGTAAAGGTCTGACAGAGAAACTTTTACTACACGATACCATCTATTCTTTCTAAAGGCTGCTACCTGTTGTAAGGAAAATTCATTTGTATAGGCAATAGGTTTCTTAGGCCAAACTAATATGATGGCTGGCATGTCTTCAGCTGGCCTTCTGGGGAGGCATGAGTCAGCACACTTAAGTAACCTAGGTGAACCCATGTGATCACATTTCCCCACGGCATGTTGCCACTATTGTTTCAAGCCAGATATAAGTGCTTGCCATATTCTAGGCCATGCTCTCACTGCCATTGAATCCTCCTAATGATAAAGAACATGTCTCATCTGCCCGCTTCTTCTTTCAACTCCCGGAAGCCTGCTCCTGCTCCGGTGCACTCACTAGCTACAGAGCCCACTCCACACACCTGTGAGGCTTCATCTGCACAAAAAGACAACCTTTACTTGCCATGCCTTTCCTCCCCTATCCCTCCCATAAGCTGTTTGTTTCCACACTGCAAGCCTTTGTGCCTTTCTGTATGGTGTAAAAGCTTCAGTCATCTGGCTCTTCTTTGAGTGTCATACTTTGTGTGGCTCCTGTGCCAAGGAGCTTGTTTGGTTTTTCTCCTGTTATCTGTCTATTGTCAATTCATTTCAGCAGACTTAGACTGGAACCTTCAAAGGAAAAGTTTCAACTTCCCTACAACACCAAAACCCAGCATTTTCTGCCTTCTTAAATTTGTAACAGCTGTGTGGGAATCAAGCTGCAAGAATTTCAGCACTGGGAAGAAGCAATAAATCAAGAAGTATAACCTGAGATCATGATCACGCCTTGCTTCTTCTCTGCCTCTTAACAGCTGTATAATTTTGGGAAAGCCTCACCTGTAAAACAGAATAGTAATTGTACCGTTGTGATAATTAAATGAAAGAATGCATGTAAAGCATTTGTATTCAGGCTTCAAACAATAAGCATTTGACAAATGTTAGATGTTATTATTAATGGTATTATTTTAAACATATTTATATTGAATTATTCTTTATGGCAGCAGAATGTATTATATACCATAATTTAATGCCTTCTCTGTTGCATTATCAATGATCCATGACCAGGTGAGTTGTTTTTAAAAGATCGTGGGAATGAGGGGAAGGACCATTAAAACAGAAGAGCCATGAAAGCACAAATTTAAAATAAATCATTTAATAAATGTTAGAATTATTTAATTATGAAATTGAATGAAAATGTTGAATAACAATATAAATTTAAATGCAAAATCTAGCTAAATATAGAAAAGAGGGAGGCATATTACAAGCAATGGTAAGATTAAAATTTAAAGATTTAAGAGATCTGTGGAATGGAGGAATATGTAAATTTTTCACATGTATAAATTTAAAAATGATTGTTGAAATGTTTTCTTACTTATGAATTCAAAATCTAAAACACAAATGTCTAAGAATGAAGAGGCCCTAAAGCATAGAGAGAAAAGGCTGCATTTAGCTTCAGGTGATACGAATTTGAACACTAGTTCTTTTATTTATCTCACTTAAAATGTCAGTTTTCATGTCTATCAAAGAGGGCTAATAAATCCTTTTCTGATTCAAAATCTTGGGAGAATTAGATAAAAGCAGTGCAAATATTCATTTATTCAATTTATTCGACAACTATTTATTATATACTTACTCCAGAGAACAAAAGCAAAAATTCCTGTTCTCAAGGGGCTAAGTTATTACATTGCACTCTTTCTGTTTTCAATATGTCCTTAAGCAATAGCAGGGCAGCATTAGGGTTGGTTGCTGTCCTGGGCATCCAGCCTGTGTCTATGGCCACAATGACAGGATGCTCAAAGCCAGTGGTCTCCAAGTAGGATGAGTACAAAAGAAAATCCAATGAGGAATGGGAAATATTTAATATATAATTTCAATTTGATTTTTTATCTCATTCTTTTAAATGTCTATGTGTATGTTTTACAATGTACATAATGTATTAGTACACAAGTATATACATACAATCTATAAATAAATATATATATATGTTGAGATGAGTTCAGAACACACTATAATATGGTGCCTTTGCAACTGAATATTTTAAGCTGAAGGAATTTGAGAAATGCAGATGATAGAAGGACTCTCTGACCCTGAAGCAGGTCATATGACCCTCACCTGAGAGATGACCGTCCTATACCCAGAGAAAAGGAGCATCCTTATCTCTGAAGACAGAGGTACTAGAGGAATCCAAACAAACAGGCCTTGCTAAATGTCTCCCAGTTTACCACTATTAATTTAGACCATTTTTTTCCTGTCTCATTTTTTTCATGACTCTGCACCCTTCATCAAAGCTAATATTAAAAAAAATGCTTAGGCTTAACCATTTCTTCAGGTCTTCATTACCTTATAAAGACTCCCATGTTAAGTAAAATTTAAATGCTTTTCTCTTGTTAATCTGTCATTTGTTAGCCTAATCTATAGGGCCCCAAACCAATGAACCTAAGATGGGTAGAAGGATAATATTTTTCCCCTCCCCTACAGAGGTGTGTGCTTCAACACTTTTTTTACTGACAATGGTGCAAGATAAAAATCTTTACACCATGGCTCTAATAATTAAAAATGCAATTAAAATAAAAATTTAAAGATGAACAAAAATGATTCTTTCAGAAGTTGGAGCTAGGTAAGAAGTTTGATTTTAAAAAGCTAGGATCTGTAATCTATGTAAAACTATGAACTGTAATAATAATCAGCCTTTCTGCCAAGCATTCTTTTTTTCCTGGTCTGCTTACTTGGCCAGATTTCAAAGGAGACTTTACTTGTTATTTCTAGTCAACTGCCTTAAAACCTTGATTTAAGTAGAGTCCCTCTAAAGCCTAGCATTTTGGGCCACTAACAATTTTTAAATAACATTTTTAGGTAATTCTTATGAGATTTCATAAATTTTAATTTTTAAGAACATTAAAAATGTGAAAATGTTCAAACATAGAGAAAACTAGAGATACTAGTAAAATGAATGGGACATATATACCCATTACCCAGATTCAACAGTTACCAAGATTTTGCCACGTTTGCTTCACCTATCCATTTTCTTTCACTGTTTCAAGATCATCTTTTTAAACAATTGGTTTTCAAAATACAGACTTTTAAAAATGAAATATTGCCATTTGCAATAACATGGATGGAACTGGAGAACATTATGTTAAGTGAAATAAGCCAAGCACAGATAGACAAATCTCACATGTTCTCAGTCATATGTGGGAGCTAAATATTAAAACAATTGATCTCATGGAGACAGAGAACAGAATGATGGGAATCAGAGGCTGGGAAGGGTAGCAGGGAGAGGGAGATAAAGTAGGGATGGTTAATGGGTACAAAAATATAGTTAGTTAGAATGAACAGCACAACAGAGTGACAATAATCAACAATAAGTTAGGGTATACTTTAACTAACTAAAAGAATGGAATTGAAAGGTTCCTAACACAAATAACTGATAAATGTTTGAGGTGATAGATACCCAAATTACCCTAATTTGATTCATATACATTATATGCTGGTATCAAAACATTACATGTACCCTATAAATATATATAACCATTATGTACTTATAATAATTAAAAATAAAAAAAACTGTTATAAAATCTATTTTAACAAAACAAAATATTGGTTTTTAAAAGTGTTTTCCATAGAAGTAGCATTAAGTTTATCATACTTTGTTTTTATTAAATTTTTAATAAGTAATAATTTCATGGCTCAAAAATCAAAATTATATAAGAAGCATACATTAAATCTTGCTCCCAACCCTATTTCCAGCCACTCTGATCTCCCTATCTGCCGCCAATAGGCAACTATTTCATTTCTTATGTATCTGAGTGTTTCTGTATGCAAATATATACAAATATAAACATATATTCTCATGATCCCTTCCCTTTCTCACTCACACAAAAGGCAGTATATGTGATCTTTGGCCTATAGTTTCCTGAGCTTAACAAAGTATTCTGGATGCTTTCCATACAGGGAGAGATTTTACATCCACTTTATCAATGTACCATTGTTTATTCAGCTGATATGGATGGACACTTAGGTTATTTCCATTATTTTGTTATTATAAAAATGTTCAATCCTTATACACACATCATTTGCCATGTATGTACTTATATCTATAGGATAATGCTCCAGAAGAAGGATTGCTAGGTCATAAAGTATATTTATAATTTTGAGATATTTCACCAAAATTTCCCTCTTGAAACATGTCTCTTTTACACTCCTACCAGTAATGTATCAAAATACTGGTTTACCCACAACCTTGCAACAGAATGTGCAGTCAAACTTTAAAATTTTTGCCAGTTCAATAGAACAAAAGTTTGTCATTATTTTTATGAATGTTAAACTTCCTGCCCATTTTTCATTTTCCTCTTCTATATACAAGAGAGTGCTCAATAGATACCTGGGGTGATAGTGCTTGCTTTATTAACTTTTAATTTTGTAAGTAAGATAATTTATATTTGTGATAGATATACAGCAGTCTAAAATAAGCTTTTGTGACTGCAGTTATTTTTTTACCATGATAAGTGGGAAAAACCTATGTGGATCTAGTCAGCTCTGCAGAAAGATATCAATTATTTAGTGAAGAAACAAAATCATCCAGTTCTAACAATGATTCTTATTATGAGTTGAATTGTATACCCCCAAAGGTTGTTGAAGTCCTAATCCCCAGCACCTGTTAATGTGAATTTATTTAGAAACAGGGTCTTTGTAGATGATCAAGTTGAGGTTATTAGAGTGGGTCCTAATCTGACTACTGTCCTTACGAGCAGGGGAAATTTGGACACAGGGACAGACATGAAGAGAGGAAAGATGACATATTGACACAGGAAGAAGTCATCCACAAGCCAAAGAATGGCCGAGGCTAGGAGAGAGGCATGGAACAGATTTTCTTTTAGGAAAAGGACTGGGAAGAGACTCAAAACTAATACACCTTTATTTCAGACTTCTAGCCTCCAGAACTGTGAGACAATGCATTTCTGTTGTTTTAGCCACCCAGTTTATGATACTTTATTGCAGCAGCCCTGGCAAACAAATATAATACTATTTTTACTTTGTTCTTAACTCTATTTTTCAAATTGTTTTAGAGTAGGAGAATAAATATGTAAAGAGCCAGGTTTTTCCACATTATAACACTCAATACTTGTAGTCCATAAAAAAATGACATGATGTCTGGAATTTGCTTTTCTATACTCCAGTCATAAAAACTAAAGGGCAAGAGAAGTATAACACAATGAATTTTATGTCTTCTAAAAGTTTTGCTAATTATTTGCTTCAAAATATAATCAGGTACACTCGCACGCACTAATTAAAAAACATTTCTTACACACCACTATGTGTCAGAAATTGTTGTAGGCATTGGAGGTATTAAGACTAAGACAGAGTCTGTTCTCTTTGGGAATAATTATTAGATCCAGTTTTAAGAGTAAAGCAAATTATCACCACAGCCCTAGGTAGAAGGATTTGAATGAAACTGCCAAGAACCATACACAAAATTCCTTTGTCTTTAACTTTGTCTTGTGGCTTTTCATCCACTTCTAATCATGCAAAAGATATTCCTTAGTAAGTGCTTAGTCCATCAATGTCCATCATCTGCCCTTCCACATATCCAATATAAAATAATACATTAAATATTATAATGCCCCATTTTTCATTTTTGTGATAGTAGCATGATGCCATGATGATAATTAGTTTGAAATCCAAACAAGGATGACATCTTGATTGCGTGGGATACCAACTCTAGGTTACGTTTTATTAATTTTTATTTTCTGTTTACAATTCTTCTCAGGACTTAAGCAGGTATTATGTAAATACATATCACACCTAAATATTGAAAGTCTTATAAAATACCTAAAACATAATTATTAAGGAAAAAAACACCAAAGTTCATTCTATAAGTTCATCATTTATAAGCTCCATTCATAAATATTATAATTCCTTTAAGTCAAGGCATATCACATTTGAGATAATATATAGTTTCTCTGTTTTTCATTTCTAGTAATCAATGTCTGCATCCTTTTCCTCTAAATTATATTTGGAATCATAATGCAAATTGATACAATGATTATAACTAACAATTGTAGCTAAAAAGAATCCTCTGTACTACTTAGTAAGTAAGAAATACTTTATGTACTTGCCAATGAAAAGGCATCTTTAAAGTCAGTCACATTTTCCATGGAAAGCTGGGCAGCCATCTAGGAAATTTGCAGAAGGTAGCCATCTGGAAGATTCTGGGGAATGGGATTTAGCTTTTGATCAGTTTGTCTGCATTTATCTCACCTGCAAGCCAGAGATACTTTTTTCTAGACCGTGGTTATCCTTGATAGATGGACTGGTCTCTTAATCCTAATCCAGAAACTGGAAGGGAGAATTATAGCCATTGTTACACAGCAATGGTGTGAAGATTCGCTTTTTTGTCATAGAATATTATCCAGATAACTGGCCTTTAGACATTTTCAAATGAAAATGTTTTTACTTGAAAAGTTTTCCACTATTTTTTTATCCTACATTTTTTATTTTTGAACACATATGATTTTTAGCTCACTGAAATATTTAATCCCTTTACTTGTTCCATCAAATAGTCCAAATCACAGGCCATATTTGATTTTTGTAGCTGGTCAGATAATGGTTGACCAGTAGCGTTTAGTTCTGAGAGTATAATCTGAAACTTCACCCGAAGTACAAAAAAGAACTATGAAATTATCAGATATAATAGGAGAAAAAGCAGTGATATTTTGGGAATTTATATCAAAATACCCAAGCTAGGTATATGCTTATCACAGTATTTTTGGCTACAGATCTCTTGGCTCTTTGTGTGAGAATCAATAAGTCTGTTATTCAGTTTGAGGTATTTTATTGTTTAGGAAAGGAAGAGCTCATACTAGGTTTCCCAAACTTCTGACACTGTCTATAATGCTCACTGGATTCTGAGAGACATTACTAATTACTACCATGAATTTTGCTGTTAGGAATTACCTCATGATACCTCCAGAGCGTTTGTAGTAAAGGAAAAGACCTGGGTTTTGGATATGACTTTGGTACCTTCTCATAGTTTCACTGTGCCAAGGTGTCAGGTTGGGGAGCGACAAGTACCGTCGTCCCGCTCCCTCCAGGTGCGCCCCAAGAACCATCTGAGACCCCCCCCCACAGGACCCGAGGCAGCACGCGCTGGAGTGACAGGCCCTGCCTCTCGTAGGCTCCACCAGAACAGCCTGAGGCGGTCGTGCGCGGCCACAGGCCGCGCGGGGACGCGCCTCCGGAGTCGGGAGAGGCGGCGCGCACCCCCCGGGGGAAGCTCCGCGGCAGCCGTGCGCGCCCGCCGGCCCAGGAATGAATGGAAGGTTCAATCTCGCGCGCTCGGCGCGGGCAGCCAATGACGCGGGCGGCAGCGGCGGCGGGCAGGTGAGCGCGTGCCGCCGCCTGACGCAGGGCTCGAGTGGAAGCTCCTGGTGCAGCCGCCACCGCCCCCCCACCCCACTCCGAGCCCCCTCCTCCCCGCGCCCCGCCACCCGCCCGGCTGCGGCGGCCGAGCGGCGGCGACAGCGGATTCTGCGTTCGGCTGCCGCGCGCCGCCTGGCCCCTCCGCGCCGCGTCCCCTCGCCCGCTCACAATGTGCTGACCCTCCCAGACCCGCCGCGCGCAGCCCGGGGCTCCCGGCCGCCGCGCTCCCTCAGGAAGTGACAACCTCCAGGTCGCTTCCTCCCCCCAGTCCTCCGGTACTGAACGCCACACACATACTCACACCCTCGCCCACTCACACCCAGGCTAACGACGCGACCATGAGGCCCGGGAGGTAAGCAGCCGGCCCCGCGGCCGCACGAGTGCGAGCGTGGCCGGGTGTGCGTGCGGGTGCGGACGCCGCTCGCGGTCCCGGGTCTGGCACGTGAGCAACGTCGAGGGGAGCTCCGTGCCGAGGAGCAGGAAGAAAAGAGGAGGTGCGAGCGCCGGGGAGGGGCGAGGACTGGGCACCGTAGGGAAGTGACAGTTCCCGCAGCAAGTTGCCGTTAGGGAGCCGGAGCGCCGCGCCCTTCCTTCGCCGGCCCTGATTTATTGCCCCGGTGTTGCCCGTGAGACGCGGGCGGTCGATGTACTTCCGGGTTCACACCTTTCTCTCCCTGCTCCGCGCGGCTGGGTCGGCGCCCGGTGTGGGCACTGCGTCGCCAGAGCAGCCGCCCAGGCCCGCCACTGCGGTTGCCGCCCAGCGGCCGGAGCGGGCTCGGAGCGGGAGGGCGGGGCGGGGCGGGGCAGGGAGAAGCGCGGGCGACCCCGGGCGCAATGGTGCGGCGCGGGCTGGGGTCCCGGCGGCGGGTCCGCGCGGCCCCTGCGGGCGCCTCGGACGCCCTGGGCCGCGCCGCTAGGGGGCGCCCGCGCCCGCCCTTCGCGCTCTCCGCAAAACGAGCTGCTTTGTACCGGGCAGGCGTCGGGGATCCTTTTTGCTTCGGTATCGGTGATATAAATTCATGAATTAAAATTAAGGATTTGGAGAGAACGGAGAAAAACTCACTTGGATTTAGGTTGTTTTTGAAGAGGAAAAGCCAAAGAAGAAATGATACATTTGCAGGAGCACTAACTGACTACTGACTGGATCACTGGATGCGGAGCTTTACGAGGATTTGTACTCCAAAAACTTTTTTTTTTACTAGCCAGTTGGTAAATATTGAGTGTTTTCGAGTAACATCTTACAGTATGTATTTAGTGTCCTCATTGCGGAAATTTCTTAAATGTAAGTAATAGTAAGTCCGCCATTTTGAATTGTTTCATGTAACACAGAATGAAATCTTAGGTGCCTGTGTTTCCTTGAGTTCCCTTCGGTTCTTTCTGTGGATTTGTTTTTATACATAGACTTTTAAGATTATCAAGTATTATTATTACTGTTCATAGACCTAAATTCTCTACTGAGGATTTTTACATCTATAATTGTTAATGCAAGGGAGAAATAAATTATGCTGGTGTTTTATTGTAATTTTTAGTTCTTGATCACAAATATTGTGGAAGTGAAAATTACACATGACAACTAGTATTTGAATAAACTTAAAACATTTTACAACATTGCTGGAAAAGGATGACTTAAAGTGATTTTTAATCTGATGAAGAAAATCTTAATTTTTTGTGCAGATTATAACCATATTTAGCTAGGTGATGATGCAAAAACGCTTTTTAGAAAAGCAAATTTTAAGTCCAGCAATAAGTTATAAAACATCACAATTTTACTTAATTTTATAAATGCTTTCAGGGAAATTTTGAAAACTAAAATTAAATTCTTGGAACTAAATGGCAATTTGTGTGATTTAAAAAATAAAAATTTGTTACGAAATTTATGCTTTTTTTCCTCTGCTGTTGATTTGCACAGATTCAATAGAGGAGTCAGAGTATGAATTAAGAAAAGAGCATATAATAGTATTCCATTTAGAATACTAATTAGACCCATGCCCATTTGGGGGGCAGTTCTTCCCAAGTTATGTATCTTTGCGTGTATGAAATACAACAATCCGGTATGCCTAATTTCCTAAAGAGCTTTAGGAATTAAACTGACACAAGGCCTCTTTCTGTTGTTTAGTGTGGAGGCGAATGATACTACCAATGAATAAAAAGTTGTATTTGACTTTTCCATTTTACAAATAGGATCAGCTAATCATCACTTAATAAAATAAGGTTATAAAAATTCAAGGAATTGAATCAGTTTGTAAGTATGTATTGCTTATTGGAACTGTTTATAGGTGCTTCTCAATTAGTATATCTGGAACCAAATGATTCAAAGGTTATATTCTCATTAATCTTTGTCAGAATGCAGACTGTCTTATTAGATATGTTCTACATCATGCTTCTTTCAGAAACAATGAAAAAAGTTTCTTGTGAAATTAATCTGGATTTAAATAAAAAATCTGGGCTATGTTGGGGAGATACAGTCAGTCTTTCTAAGTGAAGCTGATTGAGATTTAAAATAGTGCTTAAAGTTAGTCTTCACAATAACTTATTTTAAAGTATGTTCCACATGTAAAGTCCCAGAGTGAAGGGGATTTAAGGTAGTTTTCTTTTTCCCTGTTTACTCTGAGGAAAGAGAAGATTAAACAGATCTTACCTGCCTGAAAGTTTGACAGTGCTTGGTATCTATCTGATCTGCTCACTTTTTTTGGTACTTGTGACACACTGCTGTCATAATTTACAAATCATGATTAAAGAAGAAAATAAGTTACTAAGTGAAACATATACACATGACAGTCTTCAGGTAGGAGACTGATGTTTCTTTAAAATAATTGAAGTATTAGGCACAGCTACCAAATTTGGGGACAATATTAGCAAACTCAGGAAATGATTTATAAGCATTTATCTTAATCCATAGTTGAGTTGATTAAAAGAAAGAAACATGGGGATACAGAGATGAATCAATTTAGAAGTAATTCAATTATTGATTGTGAAAGAGGCATTACAAATTTTTGGTCTGTTAAAAGGATTTTGTTATTTGATATTTTAAATAGAATTTAATTTTCTTTAAAAATTATCAAATGCTCAAATTTTTCTTGTTTAAATACTTTAAAACCTGTACCTGATTTTCTTGCCTTTTAAAGGGCCTATATTTTCTTTACAAATAAGTACTGATTTTGATAGACTACAAGGTAAAGAATTTCTAGCTTGCCCAGCAGAACAATGACATTTCTTTACATTCAAGTACTTAAGATTGATTTATATGAACATGTCTTATAATATATGACATCTAGAATCACATTGTTTTGAAAAAATTGCCCACCATGAACATGTATATTCATGTATTGTGTTAGATTTCTCTGACACAATGATGCTGGATAAAGTCGCTGGCCATAGTGCTGAATCAAGACAGCCATATTGGTCATTGCTAAATCTGTCTGAAAACTGTATAGTACACAGAAATTGTGTAGGGCTTCAAGTAGCAACATGACTGTAGGAAATATATACATATACATATTTCATATATATTTTAATTTTTTTGCTTTTTACCTAGTAGAATTGGAATCATCCAGAAATTGTGATAGAGACATTTTATCCCTGAAGTATATTAATTTACTGTATAACATTGATTTTTGAATAATGTCAGTAAAATCAATAGGATCGATGCTAGAGGTTTTTCTCTTGCTTTGCTAGCTTCCACTGGCAGATGATAAGATCTTAAAATCAGTTTAAGCTACTAGCAAGTTAACTCAAAAATGGTACAATTTTAGTAGACACTGCTGTAGGTAGAGTATGAACTTGATATTTGGAATTTTTGATTCAGGTTCATATTCTGGCACTATCAAAACCAACATCAAAATATGTGATTATCAAACTTAAAAACCACTCATGAAATAAATTCCAGTTAGAAAAATATAATATAACCAATTTTCTAAATAAGAATAATATAAATTTTGAAATTATAATGATCTTGACCTAGCACTTTTGGGAAATTTTCTATTGTTTGAAGCAGGACAAACACCAGGCTTTCACTGTGTACAGTATTATTGTGCTCTACATTGTGTGAAATAAAACTGGTATGAAGCCATTACAGAAATTACCTGAAAAGGAATGTTGTAATCCATTTAATATTTCAGTAAAAAGTACTATTTTAAGCTCAGGACTTTGACATTATTTTTCTAAAAATAGAATGGGTTGATATGCAGGATCATCAAATTAAGGGTCAAAGGTGACAAACCAGGACAAAGGGCATGCAGCTCATTTTCAAGCAATCAGTTTCTAGTTTTTTCATAGCTGAACAAAAGCTTAATTATATGGGAAAAAGGACTTAGTGTTGAATGGTCAATTCTAATGGTAGAAAAACATGTTTAAAATTTTCTAGATATTTTCAAATCAGTATTTCTTTTACAGACTTATTTGTGAATGCAAGAGCTAAAATGCTACTTTTTTGTTTTTCAAACAATATTTTTGATGTGACATTTGTTTAGATTCAAAACATTTCAAGTAAAATATTCTAAACTGTATTGGTTGAAAATACTTTCTTTTTTTATAGATGTAAAATTTTAAAAAACTGTAAATTATGTTTTATCTTTCTTGCATTAATTTGTTGGTATCTTCTCCTCTGTTAGTTAAAATCCTATTTTATTTAATATTACATTTATTACCTCATTAGTCACTTTCAGTGACGTAAAGATGAGCAACCTCTAAAGCATCTCTTTATTCTCATTAAAGTGTTTAGAATGCACTGAAGTTCTCATTTAGTTAATCCATGGTGATATTATAAAGTTTTAACCATTAAGAATGTTGTGTATTAAAACTTGAAATGTATGTCAAATAAAATTTTCTTGTTAATATTATTAAATAGAAATGTTTAGTTTTACTTAGAATCATTTTTGTTCACTATATCAAGAAGCTGCTTTAAAGTTTTTATCTTAAAGTTATGGTGGGCCTTCAAAATATATGTGGCCAGTCTTTTTAAGGCAAGAATTTTGCCACTGTTTTGACTCTTTTTAAAAAATCTAAAACCATTATTGCTTTTTAAAATTTTTCTTCTATTTAATGTCACCTAAGCAATGACTGAGCTGTATTATATAAAACTATTGTTTCATATGTTGGAAAATGAAAAATATTTGCATTAGCAAAACCAACTGTTCTGTGGCTCAACTGTGTTACAACATTTACATTTAAGTCAAAGAATTTTGTTTACCAATTAACATTTGTGCCATAATCATTGCTATTCAACAATCTTGACAGTATACCAGTTGACTTAAATTATTATTCATTGAAGTTTTTGATTTTCTAGAGTAAATTCTTTTTTTCTTACAGTATTTGAAGAGAATGATAGAGCTGCCCATACCTTATGTGAAACCAGTAACATTCCAATTTGTAAAATGGTCAAGAAAGTTAAATTCATCTCTGCAATTCAGCAGTATTACAAATATTATCCTCTAAGGTTAAGTGTTTTATATCATGTATTATAAATTAAATCATATAGTTTGTACATGTTAAAAAGAATGCAACTGTGAAATTTTTCCTAATATAAAATTTTCTATTCTCTCAAAATAATTTTTAAAATATTTCACTAACTGTGAACCTTCCTGTTTTAAAACTCCAATAACCTAAGATTTGTGAATTGTATAAAGTCACATGTAAATATTTGTTTTACTTTCATTTTAAGTGGATTATTTTCTTTAAATTTTCTGTACCTATATATGATTGAGGATACATCAGCAACTTTTCCAGTTATATCTAAAATTATAGTAGGATGTTCAGTTAAATTGCAAAATAATTTATCCTGATCTTGCATAGGTAGTATTTGTGTATTGACTAATTTGCAAAAAATAATTAGAGTAAAAGGGTTTTAATAATATATGAAATGTTTCTTTAGAGGACAGTGTAAGAAAATACTTTTATATAAAGCACCCACATTCACTTCAGTGTTGAACTTCCATCCACATTTAATATTTTATTTGATATGTGTATATGTTATATTTTAAGTTATAATTAGTATAAATAAGTATTGTGCTTTAGGTTTTACTGTTTGTGTAGTATGCTTGCTATATGATTTTAAGTAGTAGTATTTAAAAACTTGTCCCCCAGCTATTCTTCTAAGAAAGAAAAGCACATTGTTGTCTACTTTGCTTCCCAAAGAAGAATTTAGTTCAATGATAGTTGTGACATACTGTAAATAGATTGATTTTTGTTATAAACCATAAAGTGAATATTTAGTAAGTTATAATGTATTTCACACTTATTTTAGAAAATACTGATTATAATAGAAACAAAAATTATCTTAAATATTTTTTAAGTGCTTAAAAATTGTGGCTATCAGAATAAGCAATGAAATAATTTTTCTTTTATTATGGTGAATATTCTTGATTGTTAAATCATTTTTTGCTGGCTTAAAGTAACTTGCATTTTATTAATATTAGAAGTAAAAGTTAACATGATGTGAATTGAATTGAAATAAAGTTCTGAGTAATCTGTTATATAGTAGTATTTTATTTTTATTCATTACTCAATTCTCTGGGCTTAACAGCTTGGAAATTTTTGAGTGAATGACAGTATATAATTCACAGTAGCAGTCATTTTCCTTTACATTTAGTTACAATAGTGGATTTTAACAATGAATAACATGTAATGTACTTGAGAAGAATATTGTTACACATGCTAGTAGGAAATATGAAATCTAAGAATGTTTGTGATGGATAATGTTTCTAAGTTTGGCAGCCCTAAAGCAGTAAATCCATATATTTAAAATAAAATAAAATAATTTTCATTATTTTATATTTGTAATAATCAAAAAATTAATTTCCTATCACATTCTTTTTTATGAAAAGATAGTTTTAGAAAATTTTTATATATAATTTCACTTTTTAAAATAAAAGCCATCCTAGTCAACCCAGCTGCAAGTTATTGATTCATTTAAAAAATATAATAAACACTAAATAAGGCCAGAATTACAATAAATGTCCACAATCTCTGTCACCACAGATCATAGAATCAAATTGGGAGAGAGAACATCTTCCATGGATTATTATAGTAAATTACAATGCAATACGACATGGTAGAGACATTGTATTCAGTATGTAACAGTAAGAAAAAAAAGCTCTAAGTGGAGATCTAAATGATGAATAGAGATTATTTTACTGAAGGGGCAGAAAAGGATTGTCAGGATGTCACAGTTTTAATTAGATTTTTGTTTTCAAAGAAAATGAACTATTGTGTAAAACATTTTATCAAAAATTATTAAATACTCAGGTATAAAATCTAAATAGATATTTTTGGAGTATTCATGCATTTAAAGAATTATTTTAATTATTATTTCCTCTCAAAAAGTAGTCATCTAGAGTAAGAATATGAACATTTAAAATTGTAAATATTTTATATACCATCTATCTCATTCCTATATAATTGTTCAGTAAATATTGGATGAATAGATCGTAATATCCATATTTAAACTTAAACTTACCAACTGTTTTGTTTTTGAAAAATTTTATGTCATTACTTAATATCAGTGAAATATATTTGTGAAATAATTCCATTTACTTTGAGAGGGACATTCATATTAAAACAATAACAAAATCCATAAGTAAATTTGAATTGTAAAAAATCTGAACATTTTTATCATTCAAATTGACTGGCTTATTTTAAAAACCCCAGAAGTTTATAGTTAGAGCTCTTGAATTAAATACCATTATTTAACTAACTTATTTGATTCTGACTTTATTAAACCTACCATTTATAAGTTACCCAAATTATTTGTAAAGTTTTTTTTACAAACCCCATTGTGTTTACACATTTTTAAAATATGTTGGTTTGAACTTTTCTGTAAATATCAGCAGACAGAGAGGATTAAGCATAGACTGGGGACTATTAGAATAGAAAGGCATAAGCTAGGGTTATGCTGAGATATTCATGTATAATAATTAAATGCACCCACACATAAAGCAAATGTGCAAAATAAAATGATGCAGGCTCAATGTAAAGGAAAGCTCTAATTCAGTAAGTTTTAATAATGGATTTTGTTAGTTAGGGTCTGTTATTATCTTGTCTTTTGGTTGTAAACATAGGATAGCTGAAGGATTTAATGTACAGAGGTTCACATGTCTTTTGTTCACCATTCTTCATCTGTTCTTTTCAAGTCTTACTCAGTGGGATTGTCATCCTTTGTAAGAAGACTCTTGGGTCAACATTCAGTAGAACTCTGCATTTGCAAAACTCTCCATTTCCTTTTTGCAACTTAAAGAATTTACACATAATGGTTTATTTTTCATGCATTGATATAGTAGGTATAGCATGTAAAACTTAGTTAAGGCGAGAAAGACAACCCTGAGTGGTAGCAGAGGTGTGGATGCATGTTCACACCAATCTGTTTTCCAAACCTTAATATAACTCTGACCCAAGGATAAAAATAATAATTCAGTGGACATCAGGAGTTTCTCTTCTAATTGCTATACTTCATTACTGGGTGGCCTCTTTATTGCAAGTTTTATTGTGTTGTGGCATCTGCCAGTGGATATATTAGAAACATCAATACTTACTCGTATTTTAAAAATGAGAACTGTTTTTGCTTTTTAAAATCTGGGTTAATGCAATTAGATATCTTTAAATATGCTTAGTGATTAAATGTATTACCATTATAGTAATTTTTCATTCATTTGAATGTAGCAGACCCAGTATCAATGGTTTGGTACCATAATTAGATTCTCATGATTTATAATCTTAAATATGTCTGAAGAGCATACATAGTCAAATAAGTTAATTAAGAAACACAGTATTCTAGATTAGGTAGATTTTTAACTGTGATTGAAAAAAATTACAATTTTTAAATTATACTATAAAATTAAATAAAAAAATTTAAAACTATTGTTAATGAAATCAGAATCTTTTGACTACATTTTAATGGTCTTAAATGTTTTAAATGTTCATTAAACCAATGTCATTTAGTAGAAATAAAAGGCAAGTTTATGACAATTGGTTATCTAATTTTGCTAGGTGAGTCTTAAACTGTTAAAAAAAAGTTTACAGGTCTCTTCACAGAGACAAACCTGGGCATTTTATTGTTTTCTAATGAGCCATTAAGATGAAGAAGAGGCAATTAAATAGGCAATTAATGTAGTACTGACATGAGCTCTCTGATTTTAGGTTCTTCAGAAGAAGATGAGGTCTTTCAACCAGGTTTCATCAGCCCCAGGTCAGTCTTTTTTTTTTTTAATTAAGTATTTTGCTTAACTGATGTTTAAAAAGATCACATAGAGGCATATAAGAACTTGACAGCCCTCAGGAGCTCTCTGTCCTTTTTACTTGGCAAGATGGCTACCATGCCCTACGTACTCCATCTTGATCACTCCATCTATAAAACTGGTATTCCCACAAGAATTATATGGATGACATCATCTAATTAACTCATTTCCCCTGCCCCCATTTTAGCAGTATTGGATTTTATTATTCCCTTTTCTGTAACTCAAGCAAGTTAGATTAATAAATATTTAAATGCTTATGGAGGTAAATAAAAAGTATTCACAGCTAGTTCATTTTTGTGACTCCCAAAGTAAAATAGGCACTAATAAATATATGTTGAATTAAATTAAAAAGAGAAACATGGTGCTATTTACAAGTTTTTTACCTTAATATAAATAGCAATATATTTGACATTTTGAGGGAATTTCTCTAATCCATAAAAATCTATTTATGTTGCTTTTCATGAATATGTATCAGAATTTATGTATTAATATTATCATACTGCAAAATGAGTCATTTTAACTTTTAACATTTAAAACTAGACTTTTGACATATAAATACTTTCTTATATTACTGAAATTAACTTAAAACATATTACTATTTTTTCCAGTAACAATTTTATTTGATGACAATATATTATTCTGGCTAAACTAGTACTACTTCAAAGATACACATTAAGAGCTGTGATATAGTTAAATTTATGAGCATTAATAATAAGTACAAATTTAATGATTTTTTTATTAAATTTATCAAATATTGGATTGTGACTATCATGAGGAAAACAATAAGAACCAAAAGGTTTAATGAGGAAACTATAATAGGTATTGCCATTTGAGAAATACTTCACTCTTTTCAGAGTAAATTCTTTGACATGGAGATGATGCTCTAATGAATATCATGATAAAGAAGATTCTCAAAAGTTGCTGCAATATTTTAATATGCCAACTTTCCCCATAGTATTTTTTCTTTTTATTTATTTATTTTATTTTCCCCCCTTATTATTGATTGTGGTTTTTCTCTGGGTGCAAATTGGGGGCAGTCTGGAGACCTTTTTCTTTTCTGTTGGGAAATAATATTAACACCAATGTGTTAAGTGACTGCAATAAAGTTTCATGTCTGTGTTTCCTTGTGATTAAAAGGGGGGTGGGAGGGGAGAGGTACTGCTTTCACCAAAATAAGGTTTTTTTTTCTAGAGATTACATTTTAAGCTGAAAGACTTTGAATGTTAACTGGTCCAGTCTCCTCACTTTGCAGATGAGGAAACAGAGGCCCGGAGAAGCTTAGTGATTGATTGATTAGCCCAAGACCACAAGATTAGTAAATGGGACCAGAACTCTGGCCACCAGTTTCTGGCTGGTTGCTTTTTTTCTCCACAAATTTAGTTCCCACACAGACATCTTAAGAGTATGAAGAATTCTTCTCACTTGTCTCATCTTTTAGTCTGCCACTGTTCTTTTCTTTCCATTTCTCATACACCTGCCCTGTCCCCCCAAATAAACCCAAAGTATAAATATTGAAATAGATACCTGGAAACTGTCCACATTGATAATTTCTTTTGATGAAATTAAGTTTTAAAGAATAAACTTTTATTCACTGCATTGGGAGAGGGAGCAAGAATTACATGTTTATATTATTTAGAGTTTTTTTTCATAGGCTCAGAATATTTACTACCAAAAGATCTTTAAATTATGAAACATACATGTTGAAAAATACTGACTTTCAGTTTACAAATAAAACATGAAGCTTCCTTTTGTGCTATTCTGGACAAAGTTATGTGAAATGTACTACTAATAATTTTTCTAACCTATTACTATTCTAATTAAAATCATTTAAGAAAGTATTTGTTGAGCACAGTTTGGAAAATATTTAGGAGGGTAATAATATCTTTATTTTTCCCTCTCATTGGGGGAGAAGTATGTTAATATAATATGATTTTTTGTTATTCTAATTTTTAAAAAAGATTCTACAGCTATTATGTGACAAACAATAAGAGCTAAAAAAGGGATGCTTTCTACAAAATTGTGCTCTTAAAATAATGCCTCTTTTCTGAATTAATTTTGTTGCTCTATATATTTTGCTGAAAGATAACAAACCAAAAAGGAGGACACATTTGAAAATGTGTGTTTTTTGAAATATAAAGGCAGTTTGGAAAACTTAAAATTTATGCTAATCCGTTTCTGTATGTCCATAATTTTACTTACTTGTTCTTGGGGAAATGTGTTAAGACACTTAAGGAAAATTTTAGGAGATTTTTACAGTTTTGTAAAAATTCTGAAGGAACTATTGTGTTAAGCCAGAGCATTTTGCCTTCAGACAAGGAAATTAAATGACATTAAAACGGAATTTTGCTTTTTGGAAACAAAAACAAAATGCCCCCCTGTTCTGAAGTGCCTCTACTATAAGGCCAACGTACCCAGTCGGGTACTGCTTTCATTTGACTTCATGTTGCAAGAATGTCAAGAAAGTTATAGCCGAGTAGTTTGTTGAAACGCAGTGGGAGGAATCGGGAGCAATTTGCCCGACGTGCAGGTCAGTAGCTAGCTTTCAGGCTGGAAAGATCACGCTGAGGATAGGGAGGGTTCCCGAAAATCGCCCCCCGGGCGTGCGTTCAGCCCCTTCCCGCTGACGTCTAGTCTTGATCCTCCAAAGGCGCACAGCGATGTTTGCCATCGTGGCTTCCCGAAAGGACTGCGACAGGGTTTATTTGAAGGCAGCTCCGTTTTAGGTATGGCCTGGTGGGGGTGGGGTGGTTGTGGTCATTTTCTTGGGTTTTGATTCCCTTGACCTCACTTATTTTAGATTTAGGAGATTCTAGCATCTCATAGATAAAGGGATAAAATTATAAATAATATATGCGAGGAAATTCAGTAAAAATAGTGCGTGGTGTTTTTGCCATAGTGATGGAGGCAAGGGTTTCTTTTGTTTGGTGTTTTTCGGAACAAGATGACAAATGTGAAAAGTCCCTTAATTAGTGAGAAATCGCCAACTGTCTTTAGAATGGCTCCACTTCTAGAGAGGAGGTGTAGATGGGATGAATAAAGGTAAAGGTGACTGCAGAGGGAAAGGCTAGGGGAAGTTGCGGAGGCAGGAGGTGGAGGGCAGATCTGCTGACCCGGGGTCCTGGCGACCCTGGGGGCGAGCTGCGTGGGAAGGCGCAGGGCTGCTACAAGGTGGCGCTGGGCGGCAGACCCCGCCTTATTTGCCGGGAGGAGAGGACGGGTGGAGTCGGCTCGCAGCTTTGCCACAGCTCCTCCTCCTAGTTTTAAGAAGAACCGCAGCATTGTTTCTGCTTTAATAGAAGTCATTCATTGCTTATAGTTGAAAACAACAACGGTGGGTTCTGGCACCTCTTTTGGCCCCTTGTACTACTGGGCAAAAAAGGAATAGAAAATATATATCTCGTTTTTTAAATGGGGAAACCTAAGATTGTGATAGCCAGCAGGCTAGGTTATTTCCTTGATTCTTCCCCCTAGTGTGTTGACGATTCTTTTGTAGCTACTTGAACTCATTTTGAAAGAACTATGATAAATCAAGCTATAAAACATTTGGCTTTCGTAGGAATAAAACATGCGTTTTGAGTCAAACAGGTCTTTCTGGCACTAAAAACAAGTAGGAAATGAGAAAAAAATTGAAACCAGAAGACCAGGAAAGTGACAAATTGGAAAGCATTCTAGGAGACTCACAGGACGGTTTTATATGAAAAAAACACTCTATGAGCTTTAAGAGCTTATGGTCAGTTTATAAAAGGATCGTAGGCTCAAAAAATTTGGGGGAAAGCGCAGAAAAGATGAATCTGTTTAAAAGACAGTGCCATGTTCTTGAATTGGTGAGTGGTTATTTTCTGTGTATCTCCTTCCTTTACTTCTCTCCCTTTCCAACTTCCTTCCCTTCTTGTCCTTCTCCCTCTACCCTTTCCTTGCCCCTTCTCTCCGCCCCCCCTTTTTAAATCCTCCACCCCGGGGTATGTAAATGCATTTGCCTTAAATTCTTGGTGAATGAATTTTAGAGGATTTCTTAGGGTTCCCAGTTGGAAAAAAGTCTTCTACACAACTTGAAAGGCTGATGTCCCTCTCAGGAAATGAACAAGTGATAACCTCTGACACCAGTGACCAGTCCAGTGAACCTTACCTTAAGTCCACTAATACTGGAGGCCCCAATCAGGCAAGACTGTGAACTCTCATAACTATACCATCCAATGTGGTTCAGTTATGGTATTTCACATTTTTCATCTACGTATTAATGGGTTTGAATTTCATCAAATTTAACAGTAAACAAGGATTCAGAATCTACTTACATGTTTCTGATTTTTAGAATGATTAAACTGTTTTCTAATTAAAAACAAACCTAACAGACAAAATGTTGTTTACCATAAATGTTTAACAAAACTATACTGGCCTGTAAATTTTATGCTAATTACTTTTATGTAAACAATGGTATTTCAGCTCACTTTACATAAATACTTTTTTAGATTATTTTTCTCTGATACCAAATGTTGGTTTTTAAGGCAATTTTTAAAATATAAAAAACTTATTTTAAATTTTTCTATCTCATGTCATGTGAAATGTTTAACCTGTAATGCCATCATTCAAGTTACTTCCTTGTAAGTTAATGTAATAAGTGTAATAGTAGTAATCAATTTCTGCTACAAAAATAATGCCTTCTAAATATTTTGTTACTAATTTTTTCAGAGCTTCCAGCTTTTGTTGTACTTGGAAAATCAGTTGAGTTTTACACCTTTTCTTTTCTCCCTAGCATCCCCCCAAATAAATAAAATGAGAAAGCTTGCTCTCTTTCCTGAGAAATAACAAAGGAAATATACAGACAAAAAATCTTTCCAAATTGATCAGTTTTGATTGACGCTTTTTATCACAAACAGCTGAAAATAACTTGTTTTTATATACATCCATTTCATTCAGATCTGAACCAACAAGTTTAACTCTATTTAGTTGTTTAATATGGGTAGAGGGTGTTTTTAGGTGCATGTGGGTTTTTCAGTAGCTTTTCGATTCACAATCTCTGCATTTTAGTTTGTGTGAAGCTGTGTTAGAGAGTGGGCACGTTTGGAGAGATGAGGAGGGGGGATTGCGGGCTTGGTGGGGGAGGGTCAGTTCGGTAGGGTAGCGTAGCCGAAGGGAAGTGGTATCTGAACAGTTTCTCCCTAAACTGCTTGTTTAAGAAAATGGGGGGCGGGGTGGGGAAAGGCTGATGGTGCATTTTAATGTTTAAAAAGTGGATGGTATTTTATATTTTAAAGGAAATAGAGCGTTTTTAGTTGATCTGTAATATTTATTGTAGTAGTCCACACGGGTGGTAATATTGTTGTCAGCGTCTCCCAGTCGGTCGTTTGAACCTATTTGAAAGGTAAAGGGTAAGCATTTTGAAACTGGGGGCCAGCTAGGGAAGGGATGATAGGAGACTAATCCATGATTAAATTTTCATTTATTCGACTTTCCTACCCAGTGATAGGGGACTTTTAAAATGTCAGAGTTCAAGTCAATATGATATGAATTTACCTTTTTTCTCCCACTTGCCCCTCTTTATTACACACACACACACACACACACACATGCCCACACCCGATTTTCCCCCACCTCTTTCTCTGGCTTTGCTGCCGCCTCTCCTGTCGGCTCCTCTTCACCTCCCCAGCCTGCGTTCCCCTCCCCCTCCTGCCCTACGTCGTCTTGCTCAAGGGGAACAATCGCCTCTGATTGAGGTTCACTCTATGTTAGGCTGGAAAACTGGGCTGTTATTTAGGAAGTCATTAATCACATCTCCTCCCCCGGAAAGAGATGGCGGAGAAACCTGTGAAGTACAATTCCTTACCAACTCCCTCTAAAATGTTCCGAAGTGATAAACCTTGTAGACCCCATGCGATTTTTCTGTTAGGGTTTTATTTTAAACTTGAAAAATTTTCAGGGCGCAATTAGATAATTGTGTGCTTTTGCCTTTTTGTAGATGTAATCATCATCTAAAGTTTCATGGTGATGTAATTAGTATTTAGATATTTTATAAATTATTTTCCTCTAAGATTGAATTAAATATGAAATTAGTATCCCAAGCAGGTTTACTTATATGGAGAGTACCTGAATTCTTAGGGGAAAAATAGCGTAACATCGGTTGTTTTATTTAAATGACTCCCCCGCCCCGTGAGATTATTTAGACAGGCTGTGTGTAAGGCACGCGTGTGCACATACATGAATATGCCGTTTTTCTAAATCAGCGATTCACAAGGACCCTCCATTGTGTTTAAGTAGAAGCACGAAATCAGCATTTATCTGATTTATTGTAAAGAAGCATTCCAAATTGTCTTTAAGATAACATGTTTGAGTTTTTCGTGTTCATTCATAAATTATTTTGATGTCAGCATAGATGAAATGGCGATTGGTTATCTCTTCCTCTTGCCAGCCCCTTAAGGATCCGAGGTGAAATTAGTAGCAAGAAAGCATGTAATTGACAAAGTCACGTGTGCGCAGGGGGCCAGAAACTGGAGAAGAGAAAAAAATCAAAAGAAGGAAAGCACATTAGACCATGCGAGCTAAATTTGTGATCGCGCAAAATCAAGATGTTAGATTGATGCAGAAGATCACTCCGTTCCAAAGGGAAAGTTTTCATCTCACGAGTTTGGAGCTGAGGGCCGGTGGGGCAACATGGCCGAAGGTTAATTTTCTTTTCTATTGTTTTACTGTGATTTTCTTTCTTCTTTTCTCTCCCCCCTCCCCCTCTCCCACTCTTCTTTGCTTGTCCACCCCTTTCCCCTTTTACCCCAAAACTGGGCATTGCCTCCCCACCCCCATTGCGCTACGGGGCTTTCTGCAAAGCTATTGTTATGGATCTCCAAAAATGTTTTGTACCGCCCACACTGATTCACAACTTGAAAAGCTTTCAGGGGGCTATTGTTTGAATTGTGAGTGTGTGATTAAGCGCAGTTTCAGTTAGTGAGCCCTAGAAAACTTTTGTACACCTGCCCCCTCCCCCATTCCACCCCAACTTTAATTGAAAGTTATGGGGGGAGGGGAATGCGCATTGCAAATAACCCTGGATTCACTGCTGCCGCATGTGCATTAACTAGTAGATCTACCCATGTTCACGATTTCTCTTTCCTCCTGGTGCCCGCTGGAGAGAATACTTTTGCTGAAAATTTCTCTTTGTAAATGGGATCAGTGGTAAATCAGCAATATGCAAGTAAAGTATCGCATGCTGTACTGTAATATGTGGCTGAAAAATGGAGTTAAATGAAAAAGTACACGTATGTACAGAAACGTGGAAGTTGGTGTGATCGGTAGGACAGTGTAGTTTCCCCTCCCCCGCTTTCCTTTTAACTCTTCATTTTAAATGTTTTCTGTAGAAGGAGGAATCAAAACATTTATTAATGTTTTTTTTCTCTCGATTCTCTCTCTCCCCCCAAGCAATTTTTTTTACTCTTTCAGTGAACACTGCATGGGAATACAGACTAACTGACTTTTTTTGTCCTGTTCCGTCTCAGGCGGGGCAAGCAAAGGTGGTGGAGAAGAGCCCGGGAAGCTGCCGGAACCGGCAGAGGAGGAATCCCAGGTTTTGCATGGAACTGGCCACTGCAAATGGTTCAATGTGCGCATGGGATTTGGATTCATCTCCATGATAAACCGAGAAGGAAGCCCCTTGGATATTCCAGTGGATGTATTTGTACACCAAGTAAGCAAAACTTTTTTTCCCTCTTCATCTTTTTCCACGTGGAGGAGCTGATCAGTAGCAATGTCAGTAATGTGCCCTCAGGTATATTGGAAGACAAAAATCTTAAAAATCACGAGGTAACCTAGTTTTTATGGTATGTGTGTGGGACTCTTCCTGAGTATCCTTCTAAACAAAATGAAAAAGTTGAAATTTCACTATTTGGATTCTGGTTTTCTTTATTAGAATTTTCCCTTCTTCGACAGCGAAATTGGCGTTCGTGCAGCTTCCGGTGTTGTAGGGAAATATATTCTGTCACCTATGCCTGGTGAATGGGTGGAAAAATGAATGAAGAAATAATGATCATTTTAAGGTTGAAAAAACAAAGCAAAACAATCTGCTTGTTTATTATAAGACATGTATAGGTTCCTATATTTTAGACACCTCTATGCACAGTAGCCCCTCTATTATTTTATCACTGCCTGCCCCTTAGTTATTTGCAGATTCTGATAAAAATAATTTGACTTAACTGTAAAATAAAATAGAACACTGTTGACCTAGTGTGGATGTGAATGAAGCAATGCAAGACTATGCTTAGCAATCAAACATTTTAAAAGTGTGCTCCGTGTAGGCATTGATCCAATGATACTGTCTCTTTAAGGGACTGAACTCTGAAAAACATGTGGCCAGAGGCGGCTCTAGCTTGTGTGTTTAAAATGTGCTAGTCTGCTACTTGAGGTAAATTTCTACCTTTGCTTATATTATGTTGTAATGTTTTAAGATTCTTAAATATAAAACAGAATGCCACTGCTTTCCATTTTCAAAATTTTACCCGGGAAATAATAAATTAATACCTCTTCCCCCTTTACTGCTCTCTATGAATCTCTTTATAGTAAAAAGATTCATCTTTTTTGCAAGCCTGTTTGTTTCATCAAAATAAGTTAAATATAAATTCTCAAATTCACAGTTAGAAATAAAGAAGTTTAGGATTAAAGAGGTTTATTTTGACTTGACAACTAAGATAAAAAGAATTAAATGAATGGCTATTAATATTACAGTTTGACGGACATAGATACATGCTTGAAAATAAAATATTTGCTTGAAAAGCATATATTTTGTTGATACTGTGTTGCATGTTCCTAGTAATGTTTATACCCCCCTCTCCCTCCCTAAGGAATATCATCTTCAAATTAAGTATATAAACAATAGAAACATATGAAACCATTTTGTTTTGATCTGTTCTGTGGTGCTTGGTAGCTTCCTGACCTTGCTGTGTGGCTTGTGTTTTCCTTTCCTAAAGGCCTGGCTATCATTATTGGCTGTTTATATGTGGAAGGATCAGCATAATCTGTGAATCCAAACAGGTTTAAATACATAAATAGGAGTCCACATACAAGCTACTGAATTTCATGCCTCCTATTTTATATTGCATAGTGAAGCTACATTTTCTTGTCCACCCTCTAAGATTCAATGGCTAAAATCATTGACAAATCCATTTTTTCTCTGGCTCTTGCTTCCCCCTTTGAACCTTCTGTTAGTTGTTAAATTGTTCTTTACGATCTCATAAATTTGTTTTATAGATGAATGAAAAAATAACCTTTTTTTCTTTATTTGAACACACTTTGTTTGTTTACCTTTTAAAATATTCAAATATTAGATATTTGATTAAGCAATGTTAATGTTTAGAACCATGAGACATCCAAATTTAAGCTATTTAATTGCTATATGTTGATAAACATTCTATCCACTGAATTAAGACATATTATTGCTAAAGTTTTTTTACATGTAGCTAACATTTCTAGATTATAAGCATTGATTTTTAATATTTGATTTGCATTAGTCTTCTGTTATATATCAGGTATATACAAAAGGACAGTATTAAATGATGCCTAGTTAAAAAGATTTCTATCTTATATTGGGATTTACATAAATTGTATACATAATTGTTTTGAAGAAGGCAGGAATCCTACTGGTTTTAGCTCAACAACTACAAGTAACAATTAGATGATTGTAAATGATATGTATAGGTATTATGTGAGCATCCCTTATGGAATCAGGCTGCAATTCAGGACCATTTTATAAAATTTTTGTTATTTTAGATGCCATTTTTAATTGTATGAGCATTTAAAAAAATATATCAGTCTTTATAATTTTAAGATAGATCTTTCTATTATATCTATATACTTTCTTGTTATGAAAGGATATGAGTCACAGATAATTAGGACTTTTATATGTTCAACTGGACCAGTATCTAATCAAATTTTTTAAATATATGTCATAGTTTTATTTGTTTTTTGGAGTTTTCAGAAGTACATGTGTCATTGGATTTTTTTTTTAAGTGTTTTGAAACATGTTTTTAATAGTATACCTTTGGGGAGATAAATGATTTTAGTTTCTTTAAAATAATACTTAAAAATTCATGCCAAGGCACCTGGCATTTTTTTCTCTTAAAAATATTGACTGCAAAGAACTGCATATCAGAACAATTCAATTGCTGTGAAATATAGAACATACATGTGTGTGTGTCTACATAGAGCTATAGTTCTATTTAAAATTTGTAGTTCTATTTAAAATTTGTTGGCAGTAATACAAACAGACTTTCTTGTCACCAACTCCTCACAAAGAAATACAGGCCTTGGTGTGGTTCTTTAGACATAAAGAACCACAATGTCTTGGTTCAGTATCTTTAGACATATTGATAAATGCAGTGAGATTCTTCTTTTTGAGGATAGTGTGTGACCCTTGGAGGTTTAAAAGACAGTCTTCATTTGATTTTCTAATGTTAACTTGTGAGTTAAATAATCATATTTTTATGTTATGAAAGTGAATATATGCGTTCTGACCCATGTTGATTGTGAAACATTGATAGAGTTGAGTGATAAATATTTTATTTTTAAAAAATTAACAAAGATATGTAAGTGTTATATCTGTGAGTTTTGTCACATTTCATTGTTTTTGAGGTCTTCCTTAAAATATGTAACAGAACTTTGGGAATTTCTTGCTTAAAAATCCAATACAAAACAGAGATTTGTCTCAATCTAAGTAAGAATAAATGATTAATGCAAATTTTTAAGTCTAGGTTTTCACTAAGGTGATTTCACCAATGAGAACACAATTATTTTGTAAGTGCTAATAAGTAGTACTCCTATCAGTTTCTTATTATTAATAAGTTTAAAACATTTGTATCCAGAGATTATAGGGTAATATGTTTAAATTGCCTCGAAAAGGTCACTGGAAGTATTTTGAAATGTTGTAAGTTTTTAATAAGACTTAAATATTTGATGGAACTTTAGAGGAATTACATGGTAATTATTAGATCTTTGTGAAGAAGGGCAATGTTACTGAATAACTACCTGTTGATGTTTGTTAGCATGTAAGTTTTTCTTTACATAGCTTTTGGTATCTGTTTCCAAAGTCATTATCTCACCTAATAAGATAAAATGATCATTTGAATTTTATTTTGTTCTGAGAGGTATAGAATCCATTCTCCTATTGTCTTCTTCTCACCTTATTTGCATAATACTTTCTTTGCATACTGGTTTTATATATATTCAGAATTGTTTGCTGTATATTACAAAGAATTTTTAACATAAATGTATTTCATTTATTTCATAATTTTTTTTCAAAGAGAAAGTAATTTTAAAATGACTGCAGTTGAGCTGCCATTACTCAGTAGACTTGAATATTTGCTAATAATTTCATTTTGACAACTTCATTTGCCTCTCAGGTATTGGTGTTTTATTTTTATGCCTCTATTACTGATTATTATTTTGATCTTAATGGATAATACAGATGACCATATTACAAAAATTTTCTATATTTTATGTTCCTTTGCTTCAAAAACATTTCAAGGAGTAATGGAAAGGGAAGAAATAAGAACTATTATAACAGATAAATTTAAAGCATTATTAACAGTATGGGATATGAAAATATTTGGAGGTGATTAATATTTTAATGTATAAAAATTTTAAGTATTATATTCAGTTTAATCAATTGATCTAGTATAGAGTTCCTTTCTCTGTGTTCAAAATTAATTATATAATTTATGAAAATAAATTTATTCCAGTATGTTCATGTTTAAGAGTTTTTCATAATGTTTTATTGCTAATTAATTAGCCATGTTTGCTTTTGTCATAGTAAACATTTTTTACATTCAGAATATATGCAATTATTATTCTTGGGGCTATTTAAAATGCCAATTAAAATTTAGACAGAAAAACATCTTAGAAACATAAAAATGTGATCTTAAACTATTACAGCTCATTTCTATAATGAATTATGTATTTTAATATTTTAAAAATGATATCTAACCTACCAAATTTTTAAGATGTTTTGTCCAGTTGGCCAATTTGGAAGAATCCCACATGAAGTGCTTTAAAGCTGTTTAAGCATACAATCACATTTGAAGGCATTTATATCACAATTTTATAAGACTTTACTTGAGCTCTAAAGACATTGGATACTTTCCCTTTGATTTTCAAATGGTGTTACATTTTTCAGACTCTTTTTTTGTGTGTGTGTATTTAACTTCTGAAAAGATATTGTTAATTCTCATTGAATTTAAACTTGAAATGTGAACTAGGTACATTTCAAGTCATAGTCCTCCCTCTCGTTTAAAAGATTATTGCTATACTTTAAGAAGTATAGCAATAATCTTTTTTTTTTTTAAGATTATTGCTTTTTCTTACTTTTTAAAAGCCTTTTTAAAGAGCAGTTTTAGGTTCACAGAAAAATGAAGAGGAAGGTACAGAGATATCACATAAACCTCTGACCCCACAAATGGATAGCCTCCTCCATTATCAACATCCCTGCACCAGAGTGGTACATTTGTTACAATTGATGAACACACATGGAAAGTCATAGTAACTCAAAGTCTGTAATTTACATTAGGGTTAGCTCTTAGCATGGCATACTCTTGCTTGTTTTTGATTCTTCTTCTTTTTTTTAAAATACCCGTTCACAACATATAAAGGCGATAAATCAAAGAATTGCTTTTAAAATAAATATGTGAGTGGCATACCACT